CTCTCTCTCTCTCTCTCTCTCTCTCTCTCTCTCTCTCTCTCTCTCTCTCTCTCTCTCTCACACACACACACACACACACACACACACACACACTGCACTCTCGCCCTAGCGTTCACAATGCTTCACCCTTCCTATCCCTCTCACTCCTATGTGTGAAAATACATAAACATGTGTGGGCGTGCGTGCGCGTATCAGTCCCCGTGTGGGCATGTGTGTGCGTACAGGCGTGTGTTCGCCTGTGTACGTGCGAGGATGTGCTCCCGTACGTGCGTGTTTCCACTCTTGTGAATGTTTGTGTATGTCACATGCGTGTATGCTCGTACACCTTCATTTTGTCTTCGCGGAGGCCGGGATATTCGATGAAGAACTTCGTAATCCCAACGGCCGTCATTTTTAAACTATGAATAATTCCTAACACGGACATGAACTTGTAATGAGCATGCGGGGAAGAGAAAGCAACCATAGTTCCAGTCCGGAGACTACGACTTATGCGCCTGTAATGCGCGTGCAGGGAAATTAGAGCAGTGGAGATCACTGGCCACCACCCCGCTTGCCAAATGCGTGCGCCAAAACATGTAGGCCCAAACATGACCGGGTAGAAGGCACTCTTCGAGCCTTTTTTTTTTTTTTTTTTTTTACTGCGAGAAGGATGCAGAGCAGCAAAGAAGCGCTCGAGTCTGTCCGTTGAGCCGAGAGAAGGTTAACATCTCCCTCGACAAGGACGGGAAAAGTCTACGGACTATATGAACACATACGGTTTAGGCTACCCACGACACGGGTGGATCCAACCCAAACTTCCGACGCTAATTGCGCTCAGAAAATACGGAAGAGCCAGAGCGCAGACGGCAGGAGGTGCAAGAGGACGAGGCGCGGACACAGGAGATATCACCGACAACACGGAGAGAGACAGATAGCCAGACAGACAGGCAAAATCTCTACTAGCGTAATAGATGGCAAGAGAGATAAGAATCGGACTCGATGTGAACATGCATGAGAGTCGAGAAAGAATACCAGTTCTTCCCTCGTTGGGACCCCGCGAGCCCCCCCTTACCGACCACACCACATCGTCTCTCTGCCCTCTCCTCCCCTTCCTGCCCTCCACCGCAAGCAAAACCAAAGCACCGATGCGCGGAGCTTCGATGCGCGGCAAGACTTCCCAAAGCTCGAGACAACAAAATCTGTATTCTCCTCCTCGTTCTCTTTTTCCCACCACCCAACGAGCCCGATCCGCGGCCTGTCAGTGCCTGTCCTCCTACTACTTGCCCTTACCTTCCACCCTGGCTGCTTGTTTGGGCGGGACGACCCACCCGCTGTCCTCCCGCACGCACTCACCCAGCTTGGTCACTACCTCCTTGTTCCTCACCCTCGCTCCTTCTTTCCCCCGTCGCTTGGCCTCGGCTGTGGCCGTGGCCACTGCCGCACGCTCCACCCACCGTCGTCCCCCCCCTTGCGGGGGCGTTGCCGCATTGTTGCCGCGCTTCCTGCTTTGCGCTTCGCTTCCAACTCTGCCTCCTGTCCGCCCGCCCAGCCTCGGTGGCAGTGATGCGTCCACCGCCCAGCTCTGCCCCGCGCGCGCACGCTCGCGACGCTGGAGAACTGTCGCCGTCGTCAGCAAAAGCGAAGTGAGAAAGACGAAGCTGCTTTCTGAGGTGTGGAGCGCGGCTATGGAAACACCGCTGACCCAGAGCACGCAAACAACCCTAGTTCCGAACCAGACCTACCAGACGCGCCAGAAAGCGACTCGCCTGCGACAGCACCAACTTGGACCCACCTAACTCGCGGCGGGACAGCGGTCCGCGCCGATCACTCCACCATACCCGGCTGGCGCTCAACAGCCTGTACTCGACAGCCTGCACCCCCCTTTCATCCATCCGATGCGTACTTCCAGCGTATCCCAGCCCTCCGAGGACCGACACCATAATCATGCTTGCCTGGGATAGGAAGAAACTCGTCCGAAAGTCCGTCATCCGAGTTTCCGCTTGCGCGTGCCAGAACCTCCCCCTGTCTTCCCCACTCGCCCAACCCAGCGTGTCCCACACGCCACTCTGACAGGCTCGCCAGGTTGTCTGACATCCCGCTTGTTCCTGTGGCTGGGGGAGCCCTACAGGTAGTACCAAGCTCCTGCTTGTTCGGAGCCCTAAAGCTACGGTTCTAGTTCGCAGCCCTGGGTCTGCGGTTCTACTGGGGTCCGGCATGGTGGTGGGTGGGATTTGAAATTGTCGAAATGCCCTGAAAGTTCGGGTATCAGATACCCCTAAAAGGCATGGGTATGGCGAAGTGCCCATATGACCGTGGTGAAACTGTGTATTGCGCAGAGCGGGGGAGCGCAGCCCGGAAGGAGCGACGACAAGGAATAGGCACAGCCGAGAACAAATAAGGCGGAGCGGAGGGAGCGGGGGTGGAGGGGAGGGAAAAAAGTCCGGGCCCGGAGGACCGTAGGCCTAAGGTAGTGTTGCATCGAAAGCAAGGGGTCAAGCAGAGTTGCGTGGAACGTTGAGGGCTAAAATGGTATCGCACTGGGCTGATCGTCTTGTCCGTTTGCCCAAGGCTTTTTTTTCAAGGTTTTTTTAGGTCATTTTATGTCGCATTATTGCGATCCTTAGCAGTGATCGTTGCCATAAAGGAATCATGTTGGAAAAATACACTCAATATGACAGGTCCCAAAGTGAACGAGGCATCATCGACCACATTGACAAAGGCGCACGACAGAATAAAAGAGTTCTGGATATCTAACTTGCCATCCCATTTTGTTGAACAATTCCTCATGGTTCAGTTGCCTCTTATGTATGATTTGTAAAGGTCAGAAGGCAAAAGAAAATCAAAAGCCTAGACGTAAAAAAACAACAACAACTTAGAAACCAAAATCCCATGTATATACATTACGAAAAACTCACCGTAAACCGAAACGAGAATATGCAGAGTACCAACTTTAAAACAAATATTGTACTCGGAGAATGAAACTAGCAAAGCACTTTTGCCATCCTACAAGTTTTTCATTTCAAAGCGGACATCAAACAAAACAGGTAGAAAAAAAATATTTTCATGGATTCCGCCATATTGGGTTGAGGTCACGTTATGGTGCAGATTTTTGCCAGTGAACCTTAAGACAGCATGTTGCAATGCATTAGCAGTGTCTTTAAACATGTTTTAGTACACTTATAATTTAACACACTGATTAAGTTACTGGAAAAAATGCGATATTAAGCTACTAACAAGAAAGAGAAAAGTTCATTTTCATTGTGAAGTTGTTTGTGCCTAGTCCTGGTTGGGAAAAATGTTCATGGTTGATACGTTTGTACTTTGTTGTACTTTTGTTATTTTGTGGTTATATTTGGTTATATGATTTTTTATATTTTTTATTTTTTTTTACGCTATACTCTATTATCCTATGTTACAATATTATTTATTGCATGGGGTTTTACTATAGTATGCAATTTCGCTATATGATATCGTAATTGGTTATGTTATATTTTCTCATATATTGCTATTGTAGTTGTGCTATATTTTACCATGTCATGCCATGCTTTATTTTTATATGTGGTGATGTTATACTTAACTATGTTATATTTTGCTATACTTCGGTACAAAAAATCGACGAAATGTAATTTTAGTATACATAGAATATTACATCAACGTGTGCATGTTAGAGAAAATTTAGTATATATATAGATACAAACAGGGTAAACGGCATTCGGGATGGGCCGAATGCCCGAACCCACCCGAACGTATGGGACCCCTTGGGG